AATGAATGAGGTGAGGCAACACCCTTGGCTGGGACTATTCATGATGAAAAAAGGTGGGTTATTCCATCCCAGGGAGGAGAAGGGCTCATAGGTCTGGCATCTTACAGTGCAGATTTCCCATCTGGGACAGAGTCCCAGTGGTCTGCATCTACAGGAATATCTGATCTTTCCAGTTTTATTGTAGGGTCACTGTACAAGAAGGTATGAAATCCAGTGGCTTTGCTCAGTGTAAACAAAGGGTGCAAGTGACACAGATCCTTCCTGGAGAGGCACTTTCCCCCACTGTCATAGATGACTAATGTGAGAACAACCTAGAAATTTTCACTTTAGCTATGAGGGACACTTTGGTTTCCTGCATCATCCAAGTGATTTGCCCACTGCTGTCAGACCACACACCAGAGAGGAAGCTAGCCCACTCCAGGCTGCTCGGGTTTGGTGTTTCTGACTGGGAGCAGAGATGTGGTTATAGGGTGAAACAGTAGTCACTGCTGTCAGGGAATACCAGCCCTTGCAATGTGCTACTGGATATTCTAGCAACCTTCACTTTAGTCTCTTGACTAAGACCAGGGAATACAGAGCAGTGTCTTACAAGCACTTCCAAGCATCAACACTCTGCTTACTCTGCACCCAAGCTGTGGCCTGTGATGATGGACTCATGAAGATTTTTAACCCAAAGAGCCTACATGCCAAGAATGGCTTCAGAGACCCAAGCCGCAGTACCATTGCATTCAAGCTAGCAAGAGAGGTGGGGATAAGCAGCATCCATGACCACTGCATATGGCACTTGCCCTGTGATCCACAAAGTAAAATGAGCAAATACATTCCTTTGGTCATACCTTCCTTCACATTATTTTTGGGAATACAGACTTACTCCGAGATCTGACACAGAGGATCTAGACCATGCTAGAGCCAGAGGCCCTCCAGCTGAATTCAGGATAGTTATCTAGGGGCTAAATACTTCTCCCACCTTTCCCTAATTATTTTCTTCCTCTTCCCATCTCTCTTTTTGTTTTTAACTCCCGCCCCTTTCTGTCTCCCTCTGCTTCAAGCTTGTCTGGGCTTTCTTCTCTTCTTTACCCAATGACTCTATCTTCAATACCATCTCCTTGGATGATCCACACCAGTACCACTACGCACTCCTGTCTCCCCTGACTGATGGGCTTCATTCCCCTCACAAAAATATATCCCAGTAGTATTAGGCCTGTACGGAAAAGCAGACACCTCCTGATTACTGTCAGATCCTTATTCCTTCATACAGGAAGAGCCTGTTTATAGCCTGGAGCCTGCAAAGACTTCTGGAATTCAAAATGCTTTCTCCTTCCATTTTGAGGGCAAGCAGCTGAAGAGACCAGGAATCCTGCCTCCCTTCACAAATATCTTGGCCTTCCAGATATCGACCTTACCTTTAGATCCTGCAGCTCAGCAAATGTGCTATCATATATCCCAGTGTTTACCCAGCCTATGCAATCTGATAGGCCACCTATATTGAAGGGGGTGATTAACGTCTAAGAATGGATGGGAGGTGACCTTCCACACAGCCATGATATATTTTTGGAAGGGAAGGCAAAGTCAGAAGGGCTTACTAAACTCTTTGATCATTTAAGCTTCTGGTTACCAAATAACCACAACTATCCTTTCCATAAACTCATTTATTCTTAGCTACATGAATCTCCATCCCCATTTCTGAAACATTAGCATTTACCCCTAAGCTACATCTTTCCTCCCAGCTGTACCATTATCCCTCAGCAGTTCCAGTAACCCATTCCCCAAGTGCTCTCCCTTTCCTCATTGAAGACACATCATGTATCTTGCTTGCTGCACCCTTCTCTCACCTTCCACCGCATCCCAATCACTTGACACGAGCAACCAGTAGGCCACAGTTTGAAAACTGCTATTTCTAGGCCCTGCACACAAAAAACACATGTGAGAGAATCTACTTAGTTCATGGATTTCTCATAGCTTCTCTCACTCCCCTGTCAGTTGTTACATTCACATCTGCTGCTGCTAACTAGCTTCATTTTTAGCAAAGCACAGCAGGAGATAGAGAAATCTACGTCTGGTAGAGTTATAATATTAGAAATACTCCCCCAGTTTCATTAGCTTCATGTCCTGCTTTTTATTTTCTCCATTCCCTTTTTCTTCTCCTCCTTTTTTTTTTTTTTTGCTGGCATGGTGAACTGTTACACTAGGCCTGCAGCAAACGTGAGCTGGTTAGTGCTAAGTGCTGGGGCAGCTCAATTAGGGGTTCACATCCCTTTACTGCTGCACACTGGACAAAGAGTGGAAGTGGCTGGCGCTCGGTGCCTCAGAAGAGCACCAGCAAATACCAGCACCCTTAAGGGACACTACGTAGGTTGTCCATGGGAAAACACTGACCGAGGGCATGGCTTCAGTAGGACACGGATACCTCACACCTCTCTGTAGCAGGGTATCCATCTCAAAATGGGACTTGCCACCTTGCTGTCTTTCCTGGTCTAAGTACATAATTCAGGGGACTTTTGTCAAAAAACACTCCAGAAAGAAAAAGAGAGTACACCAGACAGGTGGGGGCATGGCCCCATAGGCCACTAATTAGGACATTTTACTAGAACGTGTCAAAAAAATGAAAGTCAAGTTCAATACTTTCTCCATTTGACCTCAAGTGTCTTGGGCAATCGGCACTGCCCTTCAGATTGGAGCACATTCTAGGATGAAATTCACTCAAATCTTATAAGGAAGCTCCTTAAAATTTAAAAGAGCAATAACCAGACAGCTAGATAAGGTGCAAATGTAAGTCTTGGTCTTACGTGAGCAGATTACCAGAGGGACATAGAGGAAGCACAGTCCCACTCCTTACCACCATGACAGCTTTTTAGCCTAACATTACATATGCTTCATTTCATTTGTTCTGCTGATCCACTGAGCAAACACTATAGCTGTCTCCATCTCTACAAACAGTAAATTTCAGAGGTGAAGGAGCTAGGTGCTGTTTCCCATCCTCCAAGAAAAGAAGGAAATTAAATCTCATCATTTACTTCCTGGTCTTAGACACTGGCCACAACACTTACCTTCTCCACCAGCCCTGCATTGTGCACCAATTGATCTGGTATGCCTTCTCTGAAAAACCTGTATGAGATCAGGCCCTGACAGAGAGATAGGCAGAGGGACAGCTTGCTTATGGATCCCAGTGGACTGAAGCAAGAACTAAGTATCAAGTTCCTCAAGTTGTTACCAAATGCAGATTTTGGGGATATTACTGACAGACAGCACAGACCTCCAGGGTGAGGTGGCACCAGCAGTGTAGGGAATCCAAGTACTGGTCTTAAGAGTTAACAGCAGGTGCCAGGCATCACACTAGTGCACAAATACCTTGAAAATATTCAGCTGCCTAACTCTTAAGTGGGCAGATAATCGGTATTAATTTCAACGGGAATTAGGTGTTTACTGTCTTCAAGGTGTTGTGCTCCTGATCCTGCCTAATATGAAGAGAGTCATGGAAAAAAAAAAAAAAAAAAAAGGACACACAAAACCAACAACAACAACAACATGTTGAAGTGCAGGAAAATAAATTTTGAAGGCTTGGAAAGAGGCATAAAGGTGAGGAAGCAGATGCAGAAAGAGTCAGTAAGTGCTTAAACTCCACTCAGGAAGACAGCAAGTGCGAGGGGATAGCAGAAAAGCATGAAATATGGACATGCTGCATCTGCATGGAGGGGCTGAAACCTGACAGAGAAGCCACAGAAGGAATATGATGCTGAAGAATGACAAGGGTAAGGCAGCAGGTCCTGGGAGGCAGGAGGCTGGGGACTGCAAGCACCACTGCAGTAACCGAGGACAACTGAGCATCTCACTTAGGCAGTGTAGGCAAAAAGTCAGGTTTTACAGGAAAAACTGGTGAGATCTGACAGGTCCACATGCAAGACAGAGCTGGGATACAGTAAAATGTGTGGTAATCTGGGTGTCACTGTCAGGGAGAACAGCAGAAGTGCAGGGCATGAGGAAGAGAAATGGTCTTGGGAAAAGGCCTGGGTTTCCCACTTCTCGAGTTCCAGATGTTGGTAGGGGATGATGGAAGAATGGAGAAGTGGGGAGATGCTGGAACAATAAGATGGTAGTACAAGATGTTGGACAGAAACAGGAGAAAGAGAGCAGAGGGAGAGAACAGTTCAAAACAACAGGAAAGATCAAAGCTACTGGGAAAAAAAAATAAGAGACTCCTAAAGATGGCTGGGGCAACACTGGATATTCCTGTGAGACAAACTGTGGGATTATGATATTGAAAATAAATTTGAAGGTATCGAAGCAAGTATTGGAGAGGAAAAACTTGGCAAAGATGATGTGAATACAGGGAATGCGGAAGGAATTCATTCCATTCTGCAAGTCTGCAGCATGTGGAAGTGATTACAGGGATGATTACAAGACTAGTGCTGTATAAGAGATACAGGATAATAACATTCAATTAATAACATAGTACAAAGTAGAGCTCTAGCCCAAGAAGCAAAAAATATGCTGAGCTGCACAATCCTATTTTCTGAGTAAGATGGAAAACTAAAACAGCAGGTCGAATTTAAATTTTTCATTGATTTCCCTGGAAGTTTCTGTTGTTAATGATAATTCCTTCTTCTAATGAAGTCCCTTGTTTCACCTTTCATCATTTCAAATAGTTGGAAAAATGAAGCTGAAATCAAATCTTCAGCCATGAAAAAAGTGAAGAACTTTGGCCCCAAATTCTTTGATAAAATCTTCAGAAGCTTTTCTCCAAGGAATTTTTGCATCATGACTTTTCTCTCCAACTCTTGAAGAAGGACATTAACTATAGCTTTTTTTAAAAAGTTATAATTAAAAAAAAAAAAAAAAAGAAAAAAGAAAAAAAAAAAAAACACATTCTTAAACATCCACATTTCTCACTCGGAAGGAAAATTCTTTCCAGCCAGTTCCATGACAGGTTTCGTAGTTCTCCTCTAGTGACAAAATAGTGTACACCAGTTTGGCACCAGTTACAGGTTCCGAAAATGACATACCTGCTCAGTAGTTGCTTATTGTTTTATATTCGGGGGTCCTTAGTTCAAACACATAAAGAGGACTCTCCCAAGTGTATCACTGCAAGTTGCTTGCCTGTTAAAAAGAAAAAAAAAAATTAGAAAGAGCTTAAAAAATTGCCAGTGGCCTACAGGTAGCAGTTGCATGTTGAAAAATAATACTCTCTCTTAGTTTTTTTAATTAAGATTGGTACAAGAACTACTTAGGTGCTTAATACCCCAAGAGAGAGAAATAAGTTATTTCTGGAAAAAAAAGAAAGACAACAAAACCCCCTGTGCATTCCTTCCCACTATCATAACTCTGTTGTTTATAGCTCTGGGTACTAACATACTGCAATCACTTCAGACAGCTTACATTTCCAACCCCACTAGGTACTGAAAAGTAACAGCTATCCCAACTTCTGCAAAATCTTATTCTGACACAGAACTCATGTGCTGCCGTGCCAGTCATACCAGCACACCTGGTGCTCCACAAAGCTAGGAGATTATTCCACCCTCACCTTGTCTCAGCATAGGGCCGTTGCTTTGTTACCTTGCCCTGGACAGGGGTCCCACGCTGGCTGCTGGCTGCTGGCGATTCAGCCACCCATGCTCTGTAACGTTTTCTGCAGAGCTGCTCAGGAGATTACACCGGCGATGGCATTTTATCAGTGCTGCTTCGAGGTGAGCGCAGACACGATAAGGAAGCGTTAAAAGTCAAGGAGGTGCCATTGACAAGGATTGAAGCGGGGCTCGCGCTTCCCCACCGCCCATGTGTGCGCTGACGCTGTGCAGTCCAGTCGCCTTCTCACCAGCTGCTGCTTTGGCAGGCGGCACCTTTCACCCTCTCTTTTCGGTACACAGCCTCCTGTCTAGCCAGCCAGCTCATCTCCCCTGGAAGCTGTCACAGCATCAGGCCCTCGGGCAACAGATCTTCTCTTATGAAACCCCTGCAGCTTCCCTAGTGAGCGTTAAAGAGGTTTTTAGTTGCTCAAACACACTGATGGAGGGGTAGCCTGGTTGCTTCAGTTCCTCCCCACCATTCCCTCCCAGAGAGGAAAGATCTTCTCTCTGAAGTGACTGCTTTCCCAGGGAAGCGTTCGCACATGCTGCCTGGAGCAGAGCAGAGCCAAGCCCCCAGCAGCATGCCTGGCATACACCCCACAGAGATGCACAGGCAAGCCCCAAGGCTTGGGAAACCTGCTGTGACTAACAGCTTGATTAGGACCTAATTCTTTTTCTACCTGGTTTTCAGCGGCAGGTGAAGAAGCTCCTAAGAAAATTATTTCTTTTGTGCAACCACAGTCCCTGAGCTGGAACCACACAACCAGCCAGCAAGCTGTAGGCTTAACCACACCACAGGGCAATACATGCTGTTAGACTCAAAACATTCCGACTGCATCATTGCTGTGGTGACCATTAACTCCACATAACAACAACAGAGATAGCTTAAGTGGCCACAGACTGATCATAGTGTTTCAAAACCTGAAACTCGGGAATCTCTTCTACAGCCCACATTACAAGGATCCACAAATGTACAAAGAACACCAAGGATGCTCCTGCTGCCTAGGCTACCACAGCTGAGGCCCAGTGGCTCAAACAACACCGCTCTGGAGAGCAACAAACTCACCAGAACACTACTAACAGGCTCTGACATGCAGCAAACCCCCCACAACCGTTGCAATGAGCTGAAGGACATTATATTCCCAAGGGGCAGGTGTGGTTGTCACAACTACCCCCTTGCCCAGCTGGTGCCAGTGAAGTCCTTACCAGCAGCCCCAGCACAGAAGCCCAGGTCTGAGAGAAATTCTCAGTTCACCTCCCAAGCGGCCTTGCTTGTGTGAAGTTCAGATGCACCAAGCATTTAACCAGGCAAGCTGCATCTTGCCGGTCATCTGGCACCCTGAATTTACATTCATAGAGAGACAAGAGAGAGCCACTTCTTCTTGGTGTGTTCTCGCTGGAAAACACCTCCTGAGATACCCATGCTTTCTGTTTCCTAGTCTTCATAAAGATGCCAGGGGCAAAAAGAGTCTCTCCCTACTCCTTGAGATTCAATACAAAACCACATCCCACCGACACACCTCGCAGGCGGTAGGCAGCACAGGCAGAGCAGGCACGTAGGGTTTAGTGCTGAGAACGTGGTGTCAGGGCCAGGCCAGCCCTCACCACACCATGCCATGCTTGCATTGGCAGGCACCGCTTCCTATGCTATGCAAAACAGATCCAAGGCTCCCAGAAGACTTAAAGATGCAGAGATATCATTAAAGGGAGATGTTTCTTTCCCAGAAGAAACAGATTTCCAGTACAGGAACTCCATCTAAGGCCACTTAGCTGTGGATGTTGCCCTGTTTATACCTGCACGGGGGGAAGAGGCTGTGACAGTATCTGTAATGTGTATCACTGTAGGGATATCTGAAAGCAACAATCACAGGCTATGTGCAGTAAAGGCCCCACACAAATACTTAGTAGATGCTATTTCAGCTTAATCTGAAATTATTTCTCCATTGTCTGTAATTTTTATTTCTCCCTCCACCCCCATCCCTCAGGACAAAGGCTTTGTCCAAAGACAGAATTGTGCCTCTGCCAAGTAGCATGCTGGGAACCTCAGGGGTTTGTCCTGCTTTGTATTCTTCTCTTTTACATTATTTTTTAAACACACCCCCGCCCCCAACCAGGGAAAAAATTGCAATCCCTGAACCAAAAGGTGCCAGTGAACAATGGGCAGAAGTGAGCCCACAGAGGTGGGCAGGTGTACTGGTGTATGTGGGGAAGGACAGATGGATATCACGGGTGCCTTCATGCCAGCATCACCTCAGTGGCTCTGAGCAGCCACAGTTGCTCTAGCCTACAAGCCAGGGCAGCACAGGCGGCTGCCAGGTTCCCCCGCTACCCTCTCCGTGGGGGAACAGGGAGGATGGAGTGCCCATCCTCCCTGTCTCTGGACACGAGCAGGCCCACGGGAACGAGTGGGGCATCCATCTCCCTGTGTTCCTGCCACCAGCTGGGCTTCCTCCCCTGCCTGATGGTGCTCCACAGCCCATGAAACGAGCCTTTGCCATGCAAACTTTCTCCCTCCCTTTGTCACTAACAATGCAGAATTCTTCCAGAACTTCAGCACTTTGGGAAAGGAAAAGAAAAAAACAAAATCTGAGGGGGAAAAAAAAAATTAATTTTGAGAACAGTTTCCTTCACCCAATGTCCCCTTGTGCAGTGGGCCCTGCAGCTGGGCTGGGCATCCTCCCACAGGGTTTCCTTGTGTGGTGTCCCCGCCAGGGGAGCCACATTTGGGAGCCCCCAGCACCCACCACCCTGCGGCACAGTCATCCTCACCCTAGCTCTTGACAGGCACCCTCAGCTCCTGGTTCCTTGGTGCCACCAGTCCTCAAGTGTTTTAGTCAGGGACCTAGCAAGCTCCTCACAGACCTAGCAAGTACCTCATGGATGGTCGTTCAATGTCTGATCCCAGCCCCAGGCAAGAGCAGCAAGTTTGCTGGTCTGGCAGGCTTCCCCCCAGCATTTTCACCAGCAGTCACCTTACCTTGTTTGAGCTTCAGGGAGTTCAGTTTGGGGTGAAGGGTAGGTCAGCTCTTATCTCATATCTACACGCGAAAATGTAACCCTTAGGAGTTCCCTTTCCAGCTCTGAGAGTTCCTGGCTGGCAGCACAGTGAGGACCACACTTTCCCTCTCTGCTGAGGCCTTTTAGCAGGAGGCAAGCAGTGACAAAGAGCCACAAAGATTAACCAGCCTCGAGGAAAATCCTGGGGGCATCTCTGACCTTTCTTCAGCCTTTGATGCAGGGCTCATGGCTAGGAGAAGGAGCAGAGCCACAGCCTCACTGGTCCAGGCTGGTGAGAACAGCCCTGGGATGATGCTCAGGGATGACAGGAACTGAAAGAAACCCCACCACCACAGGACTTTGCAGCCATGTGAGATTCAGAGATTACAGAAAGCCACCCTCACCCCCTTCTCATTCTGGAAAATGTTTTCAGTGCAGCTGAGATGGATTCAAGAGATTGAGCTACAGGATCTTACAGTCTGTTTAAGCAAATACCGCTTTTGTCAATTTTCCAAATGTCTGTTCACACACAGACTGTCCTAGCATCCTGCCAGGGCTCCAAACATTCATCTATGGAGAATTTTTCTGGGAAGCTGTGCCTGCGTCCTTGTTTTGCCTTCTAACCATTTTAAGACCAACCCTATAAATATGAGCCCACATGAAAACTTAGGCGTGAAAGACTTCATTCTCCAAAGCCTTGCAGATGTATGTGAGTTAGGGAGCCCTGCTCAGACCACTGCTGCCTTGTCCTAACCACAGCATATCACAGCTCAAACTCCAAACTACCAAATCGTATCTATATCCCTCACTGCTGGACGCTACCACAGGACAAAGACACAAAAACTGAGTGGGGGTGGGTGGGAAGGGAACGGTGGAGCAGGCAGAGACAGTTGGTCCCGTGTGTTTTCTTTCCTTAAAGATAAAAATTTACCCCAGTCAAATGAAAAAATCAGGAACAATGCAGGAATTTTAAAGAGGCCCAAGCTGCCACCTGACTCAGCGTCTAGGCAGGATATCGATTAGCGAGGCTATTCTTTATTCCTCTGCTATTGTTTAAGACTGGCCTCCCTCATGACAGCAACAGGCGTGGGAACACAGCAGCTTTGGTGTTAAAAAGCGCTTTTATCACTGAGCTGAGTAGAGGGGTCTCTGGGAACCAGAGATGGTGTATCTGATAGTCAAGGAAATGCATTCAAACCAAGAGCCTTATTCTGAGATCTCTGAGGCCCTGCTAACAACTCTGAAGCACACCAAGGCAATGCAGCACATGTCCAGTACAGCATTTCTTCTGAGTTGTATTCAGGCTCCAGTGAGTTCAGAGAGGTGCAGAAAGAAAACAACTCTGCCTGCTAAAAATTCTTGGATTTTTCCTTAAGCACCAGTGGCTGCTGTGGTGGCTGCTCCTACAGACATACCCACCCTGGTTTTAAACAAGCAAGGCTGGGTTCTGTAAATGGTGTAGCACAGACAGCACGGAGAATATGCTCTACACCTATGTCCTTATCCATCCTCTTGAGCAGGTTTTGCTAGCCAGGTTGGGCTCCAGCCTGCAGTAGTTGTCACAACAATGTCAGAAGGCAAGGGCATCTCCTCCTTAATTCAACACAACCAGACAACTGTCGGGTGGCATGCATCATTGCCACTTAAACTATCTAGGTGCCTGCAGCCTACCAACAAGGCAACACAAGTCTCCACCAAATGAACTGACTGACAGTTACACAGTTTTCTGGTAGCTCCAGGCAGGAATAAAGCAAAATCTTTGGTTTTCTGGTAAATCTCGATGCATTAAAAAGCAACATGCTTCTTCAGTACTTGAACATATCTGATTTGACTGAGCAGGGGAGAACCAGTGACCACCAACCAGGTTTTCAGCCAGCCAAAATATTTCTGGCTCCCCTTAGCACTGTACAGCTGGCTCCTGATTTTATATTCTCTGTGTTTGTTCTTAATTTGCAACAGAATCTCACATGTAACTGCCTTATGAGGGTCTTTGTTTTCATCTACTCT